TATATATATATATATATATATATATATATATATATATATTTGTTTGATCCTCAAAAGTGCTTGTTAAGTAAAAAGGTAAAGTAAAAACAATTAGCTGAGATTGTTCTTTTATTATGTATACAAACACAATTTTTTTTTTTTGCACAAGTATTTTTTTATATTCATTATTTATTTCATGTCAAAAATTCACACACGTTGTAGCAAAAAGATAAGTATATGCCTGAAGAGATGCTTTTGTCTTTATTCATTATTAGAGTACATCAGCAGTGTGCATTGTGAGCCCTTTCACCAACCGAACCCACAAAAAACATTTACAGTTAACTAATTACAGTTAGTTTTAGCTGTTTTTAATAATCTTGAGGTGAAACAGAATTCACAAAATTTAAAAATAATTTTTAAGTGCATGGACTGACAAGAACTAAAAAAATAAACCCTCTTAAAGAATTATCTAGCCTTCTTTTATTTATTGAACTTTTTTTCTTGATTTACAGAAAATTTAGGATAAGTTTAGGAAGAAAGTGTTATACATACATCGTCTTATGAACATCATGACCTCATAAATCAGATTAAATGTTTTGAGGACTGCTGTTTTCAGTTTATTGTTTTCTATGAATCATGAAAAATGTTGCGTACAAATTATATATTTGTACACGTATATGTAAATTTCATTCTTAGCACAGACCATCTTTCATTTGCAAATGCAGCATGCATAGGTTGCAGTCAATGTGTACATGTGGACAAGAAAAACAGCAACACCAGAAATAAAATGGTAAAAACAACAAATTCAACACTCATTAAAGATGATAAACCTCATCTGACTTTCCAACAAAGATGAAGTTTGATAAGAACGCAAATGTCTTTAATTCAGTATTTTCTAAAGTCCTGCTGACATTTTATAGACTTTGACATGCTTTTATGTAAAAAAATAAAATAAAATAAAAATGGTACATGAGAATAAACAATCTAAACATGCCATGACTCTTTATTTAAATTAACTGCACTTGCCATGAACTTTTCAGTATTGCATAGCTGCGATCAGAAGGGACACACTCAGGTCTGCAGGACCAGGAACTGTAAGTACAAAAAGAAAAACCCACACTCCTGGAATTCCAGTCAGGCCATAAAATGATTTATAAACTATATAGCAACAAATCTAAGATTAATATCCATACAGATTCTTCTTAACCAGCAGCTGACTGGGTGATTTATCTGATCAATAGGAGTCAACTAAGTGAGATGAAAGACAAACATGGTCATTTTGAGGTAGCAACCAAAAACAAACTTTTTAAAAACTATGGACTTTTTTTTAGTTATCGTTGCTTTTTGATTTAGCTTAAATAAATACTCAGTCATCTTCTAGATCCAAGTGAACTGTAAACAAGGGAATTGACTTGATTTTGGACATTTGAGAACACAGGAATGTTCTGACCTTTGGTAACCTTTGGTGCACCCAGTCTTGTATCCTTCTCCTAGAATAATAATTGTACAAACAAGTTTTTATTCGCCTATACACTTTCGATAAAGTGAACCAGAACATTTAGATAGGAATATAACGTAAATAAAATGAATAAGATGAGGGAATGCACATAACTTTAGATATGTAAGGGGTCAAAGTGGGATACGTGGCAGGAAATTACAAATATCTTAAACCAAACTTCATGACACCAGCTCTCCATGGCACTCTCTTGGATGAAGTTTTATTCCTTGAGTTTACTTTCAATAAAATCCTGGATCTTGTTGATCTTCTCTTCTTGTTGATCCAGGAGATCCATGATCATGCCCATCGGGGTTTTCTTCAGGCCAGCACCTTCGATCTTGTTCTCCAGCTTGTTCTTCATGTTGCGCAGTCTCAGAGAGGCATGGATCAGGATCACTGTAGGGAAAAATGGGAGTAACTAATTTATATGGTATCAACCAAAAATTAAAAAATATATATATATTTTAGTGGATTATATGTACACTTTTGATCAAAACAAAGCAAAAATTTACACTGTTGCAAGACTTTACACAGTAGCAGGTGCAAGGATAGGCATACGGTTCATTTCCATGACAGGCAGATACTGAATGCATGACATCAGCCAGTAAAAGTGGTTCTGTCCAAACTAAGAACCTGTAGCAACGTGTAAACACAGGCAGCAATGGGGGGATCTCTCTGGAAGTGATAAGCTTTGTCTATTTACCACGATGATAGATAGATATGCTACATTTACCCCGATGAGCTGATAAAACCTCTCTGCTGATGGCCAAGGAACTGGAAATCAGGACCTCAGGAAATCTTTAGCACATCTTGTGATGCTGATTTTGTTAGTGTGTGCCATGAACAAAATATACAAATCAACAACTGAAAATGCAGTTGAATCCTGTACCTTTAACAAAAAAATTAAATAGAGAATTTAAATAAATTGAGTCAGACAACTAGATTGAACTCCAATGGCTTCACTATCCAATGGAAGATCTTCTAAGCTTAAGATAAACTGGTTATTACAAAAATATATACATTTGCTCCAACTCATTCCAATTATTCAAGTGAACAAAAAAAACAAAAAAACTTAGCACTTACACAGCAAGGGGAAAGTGATTCCGAAAATGAAGACCAAGACGCCGCCAAACAACGACAGCAGAAAGTAACTGGTGATCATGACTCCGAACACAAACAGAGTGGGGTTCTTCCTTTTGAAGTTCTTGATTGTAGCCTTGTTTTCTCCGGCCCACACAGAACCAGCAAAGACCAGAATCACCACAGAGCCTCCCAGAATCAAGCCAAAGGGATTTAGGAACCTGAATATTAGAACATGAAAATAATTCAATTCAGTTTATTTATATATCGCCAACAATAAGTCACAACAGAAGTTGTCTCAGGGCACTGAACAGAAACATTCATATACATAAAAAGCAAGTTAACATTATTTATCTGAGGCGCAGACTGCTTTGAGTTTAACTTCATCACAGAACTCTCATCCTGAGCAAGCATGAAGGCGACAGTGGAAAGGAATAAGTCCCTCGTGTGGAAGAAACCTCCAGCAGAACCAGGTTCAGGACAAGCGGCCATCTGCTTCGAACGGCTGGGTTTGCAGGTCGAGAATCACATCAAGATAGAAATAGTATCAAATGAAAACTATTCAATTTTAACTATTCATTTTTAGAAATGAGGTCAATTTGTCCTCCTGTAGTCTAAGCCCATGGCAGCATAAAAAGCCAACCCTAATTATAGGATTTATCAAAAAGGAAAGTCTTAAAAGTCCAGTCTTAAAGCAGGACAATGCGTCAGCCTTACGGACAGAAACTGGAAAATAACAAGTTTTAAATGTATTTTTACTGGGTGTATGGTTTTCTTCTAGAACATGAAAATAACAAGTTACTTAACTTATGCTGTATTTTTACTGGGTGTAGTTTTTTTTTTTTTTACCAAATAGCACAGCCTGGTGGTGATGGCAGTAATTACTTGTGGTTTTATTGTAACCATAATAGGATAGAAGCCTGCAACAAGGCCTATATACTCACTCTTTCCACTACATCACTGTCTATTTAAAGCATCTTATTAGAAATATGTATAACAGATGTGAAGTTTAGCAACAAATGCACCACCTAACTTGCGATGCTTGTTTTGATTTACAGTTTAAAATCTCACTTAAAATAAAAATGACAGAAAGTTAAAAGTTAGGCCTTAGCTAAAACCAAAACAAAATGTAAGTGTTTAGTGAGATAAAAGAAAAAGACATGAATACGGACACAGTGTGTGTTCAGGATGGGTGTGGGTGTAAAGGTATGCAGACAGCAACACAATGCTAACATTAGCTAACAGCTAGCTAGGACTTACCCTACAATTAGGAAAACCACCATGGCCACGACGAAATAATTCGTCTGATAGTACATTAAATTACTGATCACTCGGTTGTTCCACTTGGCCAAATCTCCGAACTCTGGTTTGCTGAACCGGTCCGCTCCGGGGAAGAAGTCGTCCCATTGTCTGAGAGGCGCCAGCTCCATTTTGGCTGCCATGACTTCAGTCGGAAAAACAGAACACAAACATACGAGCACGCGCTGCGTAATATTTTGACAGATCAGCTGATCTCGCCTGTTGACCCAGTGACGAAGAACTCTCGCGAGATCAAGCTCGCGGAAGAGTTTTTGGGTTTGCGCACGCTTGCTCACGCTTGCGCACATTGTGTGGTAAAATGCGCCGGGGAGCGTTCACGGAAATATGAAAAGTGAAGACAAAGAATGTCAAGTTAAACAAAAAAGAGATATTCGATAAATTTCAGGATATTCCAGATGTATATAGAATAGAACTTTTAACAGTTGAAAAAATAAATAAAAAAGCTCGACCATAATATTAAGAAGAAGTTTTAAAACTTTAAAAATATATACACTGCGATATTATTGGCCAAATTGTTGTCTGATGAATTCAAAGTATTTAATATGTTGTATTGTGTAATATATTTCAACTTCTGCATTTTAATGCACCATTTTACGTCATGTTAAGTGTAAATGTAATGTTTTGTTTTTATAAAAGAAGACCATGACACGCAGTACGCTTACGCAGCTTTGACTCCCGTGAACGCACCATCCTAAATCGAGGACATGGGACCGTGAAAGTATGGCGGATGCCGAGGAGCCGTAAGTCTCAATGGGCGTTAAATACCATTTTATCCTGGTTATACTGCGGCCCTTTAACTTTAAATGGCCAATAATAAAACCCCGTTTCACTGTCTTCTTCCAGGGAGAAGAAAAGAAGGCGAATAGAGGACCTGACTGAGAAGTTAGTGACGAATGCTAAAATAAAGGTCTCTGACTGGCAGCAGCTCTACGACTGCTGGGCCAGTAGACATCAACATTTTAACCCAGAACAGCCCTGATAACCCTGGTAGCTTATGGTGCTAATAAAGATACAGTTATACAACGTAAACACCAGGGACTGTAATGCAAAACGGGGAACTGATTTCCTTAGTCAGATGACAATAGAAGCATCACACATTTTCTGCAACAAAACAGACCTAAGAAGCTTACATTATAATATTAGGCACGTTTTGTGTGTAGTGTGTTAAAAAAAGACATGCTTAAGTTCAAAACATAAAATTACTAAAATCCACATCAAAAAGGCTGATGTTACCTGATAAGGGTAGTATTACACAACACTTATAAAAACACATGTTTTTGTAGCTGCAGTAACACTACATGAAAAGACATGAAGCAGTTTGTGTTTATGAAGAACAAAACTGAATAAATTGTAAATGGACTGTATTTATATAGCGCCAAGTTTATACCTTATACTCAAAGCTCTGTCTGTGCCCTCATTCACCCATTCATACAGCACTCTACTAGATCTATACAAAGAATAATCAGTGCTTTGTCACATTCATACACTGATGGGACACACATCGGAGGCAGTGTTCAGTGTCTTGCCCAGGAACACATCGGCATGTGACTCCTGGTGGAATCGAACCACCAACTCTTGCGTTTGAGGACGACTGCCCTAACCACTCAGCCACAGCTGCCCCTGCTGAATAAGAGTGGTGTGACTGTAAAACCTTACTGGAGTAATGCTGTCTGAAGTTTCCTTTTTCAGTGTTCAACACTTTAATTAAATACTTTGTCATTATATTGGTTCCACCATTATAAACAATTCCAATTTTCTATTGTCCTCATAATATGCACTTTTTGTTAAAAGTATGAGGTAGCATTATAAAACGTACTTTTGGAGAATCCATGCCCTCCTGAGCTGAGTTCTGGTCCATGTTCAGAGGTTTCACATGTTTTATCCTTCCAGAATGGCTGTTGAAAGCGGACACAAGGACAGTGAATGGGATGGCCGCTGGAATCACTTGAGGAAGTTTTTGGAGAGGCCAGGCCCGTTTACCCATCCTGACTTTGAGCCAAGCACTGAGGTGACCCTAACATAGTGTTCAATATGTTATTTTATTGTCTTGAATATTGTTTTTAATTGTCTCAATGTTTCTGTCATATCAGTCCTTGCAGTTTTTGTTGGAGACATGCAAAATTTTGGTCATTGGTGCAGGAGGACTTGGGTGTGAACTCCTTAAAAACCTGGTATGAGGAGAAGCTTCACACTTTAAACAGCCTGGTTTGACTGGTTTACATGAATACTTATATAATGGTGTTTTATTTCAGGCTCTGTCCGGGTTTCGCCTCATTCATGTGGTTGACATGGATACTATTGACGTGTCGAACCTCAACAGGCAGTTTCTTTTCAGGTTGGTTTTACGTTTCGGTTTGATCACTGGTGCAGTTTTATTTGTTATTAGATGAAATAGTTGGTAAGATGCGATTTTATGTTTACTTATCTTTGGGAAGCCTGTTGCAGAATGAATGAGACGTAGCTTTAGTCTCATATTTAGAAAACATGTTTAAGCAAAATATAGCTTTTTGAACACCCTCACTTGAGTAACTCCAAATCAAAACTTTTATCATAACTACAGATTTTTTAAAAGCCTTTCACTTGTTGTATTTTTAACTTCGTCATGCATCATACAGACCCAAAGATGTTGGAAGACCTAAAGCTGAAGTAGCTGCCGACTTTATCAACAATCGTATCCCAGGATGCAAAGTAGTCCCGTATCCTTCACAGTTCTCAAAAGTTCTGTCTACTCAGCTTTAGCTAGTATTGTTCAGTGTATATATATATATATATATATATAAATTTTTTTTACTGTAACTTCCTAAATAATAACATACAGGCACTTTAAAAAGATCCAGGACTTTGACGAGTCTTTTTACAGGCGTAAGTGCATCTCCTTGTCTCTGAGCCTCAGCAGTGATGACAAAGTAAACATCAAAAAGAGCTCGGATCAGTTTTAAACCATTGTTGTTTTCTTTGCAGAGTTTCACATCATCGTCTGTGGGCTCGACTCCATCATCGCCAGACGTTGGATAAATGGAATGCTGGTAAACTTAAAACAGTGTTGTCACCTTTACGTGTCATTGCTTTGATCATATTCTGAGATAAATTCTGCACATCCTTCTAGATATCCATCCTGAGCTATGAAGATGGCATCCTGGATCCCAGCTCCATCGTCCCCCTCATTGATGGAGGAACGGAGGGCTTTAAAGGCAACTCTCGCGTCATTCTGCCAGGCATGACTGCATGCATCGACTGCACCCTGGAGCTGTACCCACCACAGGTGCCATACCTTTTCAACAGATATTTCTCCTTGGGGTTCCCTTTTTTAAAAAATGAGAAAAAGTTTTCTGAGTGGATGAAATATGAAAGAAAAAGCCAAATCTATAAACTTGTGCCTGTGGATTTTACTTATGTTGTTTTGGTGTTCACTTTTTTTATCAATAGCAGCAGCTGCTTGCTTATTTATTAAGACACAAATGCATAGGCGTCACAACCATTATATGTGAAGGGGACATGTCCCCCCCACATTCAAAAAACATTCATTTTGACACCCCCCACTTTTACTATGAAACATTAGTTCAGTCGGTGCAGTTTCTCTTTCTTCGTGAACGAATCCATTCCACTTGATAAATAGGAGAATACTCAGGCCACTAAAACTCCACTCCAGGTTTTCCTGGTTACCTCCATCTCTAAACACAGCTGCCTGCAGTGTTTCTGTGAGTCTCCTCCTGCCTCGGCAGAAAACGTGCACAAGTGGAGGAGATGGAGACACCTCTGTGTTGCTCGCTCGCCAGTTTAGCGAGTTTAGTGCGGGCAGTTGTTTACCGGGGGGGTTGATCATAAACATACAGGTCCTTCTAAAAAAATTAGCATATTGTGATAAAGGTCATTATTTTCCATAATGTAATGATAAAAATGAAACTTTCATATATTTCAGATTCATTGCACACCAACTGAAATATTTCAGGTCTTTAATTGTTTTAATACTGATGATTATGGCATACAGCTCATGAAAACCCAAAATGCCTGTCCAAAAAAATTAGCATATTTCATCCCACCAATGAAATTACAAGTGTTTTTAATACAAAAAACGCCAACCTTCAAATAATCATGTTCAGTTATGCACTCAGTACTTGGTCAGGAATCCTTTTGCTTGAATGACTGCTTCAATGCGGCGTGGCATGGAGGCAATCAGCCTGTGGCACTGCTGAGGTGTTATGGAGGCCCAGGATGCTTCGATAGCGGCCTTAAGCTCATCCAGAGTGTTGGGTCTTGCGTCTCTCAACTTTCTCTTCACAATATCCCACAGGTTCTCTATGGGGTTCAGGTCAGGAGAGTTGGCAGGCCAATTGAGCACAGTAATACCATGGTCAGTAAACCATTTACCAGTGGTTTTGGCACTGTGAGCAGGTGCCAGGTCGTGCTGAAAAATGAAATCTTCATCTCCATAAACTTTTCAGCAGATGGAAGCATGAAGTGCTCCACAATCTCCTGATAGCTAGCTGCATTGACCCTGCCCTTGATAAAACACAGTGGACCAACACCAGCAGATGACATGACACCCCAGTGACTGTGGAAACTTGACACTGGACCTCAAGCAATGTGAATTCTGTGTCTCCTCTCTTCCTCCAGACTCTGGGACCTTGATTTCCAAAGGAAATGCAAAATTTACTGTAATCAGAGAACATAACTTTGGACCACTCAGCAGCAGTCCAAGGCGAGATGCTTCTGACGCAGTCTCTTGTTCAAAAGTGGCTTGACCTGGGGAATGCGGCACCTGTAGCCCATTTCCTGCACACGCCTGTGCACGGTGGCTCTGGATGTTTCTACTCCAGACTCAGTCCACTGCTTCCGCAGGTCCCCCAAGGTCTGGAATCGGCCCTTCTCCACAATCCTCCTCAGGGTCCGGTCACCTCTTCTCGTTGTGCAGCGTTTTCTGCCACACTTTTCCCTTCCCACAGACTTCCCACTGAGGTGCCTTGATACAGCACTCTGGGAACAGACTATTCGTTCAGCAATTTCTTTCTGTGTCTTACCCTCTTGCTTGAGGGTGTCAATGATGGCCTTCTGGACAGCAGTCAGGTCGACAGTCTTACCCATGATTGCGGTTTTGAGTAATGAACAAGGCTGGGAGTTTTTAAAAGCCTCAGGAATCTTTTGCAGGTGTTTAGAGTTACGTCGTTGATTCAGATGGTTAGGTTAATAGCTTGTTTAGAGAAACTTTTCATGATATGCTAATTTTTTGGGACAGGCATTTTGGGTTTTCATGAGCTGTATGCCATAATCATCAGTATTAAAACAATTAAAGACCTGAAATATTTCAGTTGGTGTGCAATGAATCTGAAATATATGAAAGTTTCATTTTTATCATTACATTATGGAAAATAATGACCTTTATCACAATATGCTAATTTTTTGAGAAGGACCTGTATATTCATGTTAGGAGGATGCTTGAGAGGAGCGCTACGTCTGTAGCATCTTAGCTTAGCAGTAACTGACGCTGTAAGGAGCTGCAGGTGTAAGAGACGCTGTGTGTTCAGGTGCATTAAAGTGGAAATGTCTTTAAACCCCCACACCTTATTGTCCTCAATCTTCATGAGAAACATCATTTAGATGAGTAGTGTGGAACACAAGTAAAAAAGTCTAGTGGTGATGTTTTTATTTCTCTATAAAGACAAACAGTGCTGACCTGACGCTCTGTATTAAAAGTGTATTAAAGTTAAAATTCTTTAAAACCCACAGCTAAGTTTACACAAACTTGGTGAGAAACATGCTTTAAATGTGTGGAATTAAAGGAAATATAGGTGAAGTGCTGCTTTTTTGTTCACTAGTGAACACTTTTTTATACACACACACACACATCATTTGTCCCCCCCCACATTACGGATGCTTCTGACGCCCTTGCACAAATCTTTTTTTCAGTTGTAGCTACCAGACTGAACAGAAAAATCTGATAAGTGTAAAACTAAACATTGATTTTGATTTGTTTCATTCTGGCGGCTCAACGATGCAAAACAAACAAAACAAAAATCAGATAACTCAAGTTGTTAAAAAGCAAGAAAAGAAGACAAAAACATCAGCAGCACTTTGGAATTTTTTTTAGAAAAGACAAAATCATTCATTCATTCAACCTTTATCTAAACAGGTTAATCCCATTGAGTCTTGAGGACTCGTTTACAAGAGAGTAAATAAATCAAAAGAGAAAACAAAGTATTTCAGTAAATTAACGTTTTTTTCCAAAATATTCCCTTCACCAGTGTTTTTCTTGAGTTTATTTGTGTCTCAGGACCTCTGTGTTTTGTTTTTATTAAAGAGATATGTGCTATAAATCTGTTTTTATTTTCCGACCCACAGATAAACTTCCCAATGTGCACCATTGCATCTATGCCGAGGCTGCCAGAACATTGCATTGAATACGCTCGAATTTTGCAATGGCCCAAAGAAAAACCTTTTGGAGGTATGAAAAAACCATTTAGATCTTCAGTTTAACCCGAGTGCATCAGGTTACATTGTTTTATTTGACTGTAAGGTGTTTTTCTTTTCTTTTTAATCAGAGACAAGTTTAGATGGAGACAATCCTGAACACATCCAGTGGGTGTTTAAAAAGTCCCAAGAAAGAGCAGCGGAGTTTAACATCACAGGAGTGACGTACAGACTCACGCAGGGTGAAGCTATGAATTAAAAAAACATTTAGATATTTAACGCTAATGTGTCACATTGATTTATCTTCTTTTCTGGCAGAACTAATGAAACTCGACTCATAAGTGTTTCTCTTAATTGCAGGAGTTGTGAAGAGGATCATTCCCGCTGTGGCATCAACTAACGCTGTTATTGCTGGTATGAAACTTTTCTGATGCATGCTCAACAATCCAGGTAGAAAAATCTAAATGTGTGAAGTCGGGTCCTCTGGACGGATTCTTCTTGTTGAAACGTGAATTTTGAAAGCCTCAGGAGGTGCTGTGATCAGTCTTACATCGGGGAAACTAAACTCCAGCACAGAAGAGCAACACCATCAGGTCAGGTCTCTGAGGGCAGGTCAGAGGTCTCTTGTTCAGGGATGAAGATGTTCACATCCTGGACAGAGAGGAACGATGGTTTGAGAGAGGAGTAAAGGAGGCCATCTTTGTGAAAAGAAACCGCTCACCATTAAACAGGGGTGGAGGCCTCCATGTTCAACTGTCCCCCTCTTACAATGCTGTGATTGCTAGTATCACTCAGCCCCTGTGAATAGTAACCAGCCATCAGGGTGCTAATGATCAGTCGTTAGGCTGATGGTCCTTCTTGATCATGTGAACAGCTGGTTCTGGATGTCACCAGCAAACTGGTCCACTGAAAAGGTTCTGCCATAGTTGCCAAGTCCACTTATTATAAGCGACTTTGGACTTATTTTTTTCTAAAGTTACTTGTAAATCTTGTGGGTTGCAGTTTTTTAGGCTTGTTTTGAACGTGAAGTTGCTTATTTGGGCTTGACTTTCTTTCTGAGTGAAACTAGTTGATTATCTCCCAGCTCTGCACAATAAAGCAAAAGACGAGGGGTAGTGGGTAGTTTGTCCCTTCCACGCCCCCGTTTCCTGTTTATCGCTCCTGCCCAAGTTGGCGAGGTGAAAGGCGCATACATAGACGTGCATATACGTCTGTGGGCGTGCACCCCAAACACCCATACTGTGGCCGACCACTAAGGGGCTTCACTCACATGCAGATGTCAGGATGTTTTTTTTTTTTTTAAATATGTAGAAAAAATTACATATGCAAAATTGTTTTTTTTATTAGAGCTTAAAAGTATGTTATTCAAAGTGTTTATCATAATTTTGCAGTTGTTTATGTGTAATGCCATCATAAATGTATGTTCATACTGTTTAAAAATGGCCTCTGTTTTACACAATGTGGTGGGTTGCCAGTTGGGCTTGTTTTCATAGAGCTGGTTGCTTGTTTCTATCGTGAGATCTGGCAACACTGGGTTCTGCTTATAAGACTTGAGTTTGTTGCAGCTCTTCAGACTGAGGAAGTCTTTTGGATAAAAGCTGAAACATTTCAACAAGAAGAATCCATTCAGAGGATCTGATTTTACTTTTTTTAGATTTTCTTCCTGAGGTAAAATATGAGAATATTTTTTGTGAACTCTGGTAAATATGCCAGGAAAGCTGTTTAGATTCACAGTTAAACATTGTTTGATTTCACAAAGCTGTTAATTATTGCAGATTTTTGATCCAATTCTGTTAAATTATAAGAACTTAAAAAAACCCTGAACTATAAGAAACTACAGAAAGAACCACATGCAGAAAACACAGTTATGAGTCACTAAAATTGGACCGTTGTTAAAATAACATTTTTGAGAACATTGTTGAAGATCCTCTGGGTCAAGCTGCATTCTTAGTTCTTGAACTCAATTCAGAGGAGAGAAGAGACATGTATTAATTGTTCTTCATCATGAACACCATGCTTGTACAAAACTCAATCAATAATTTGTTTTTTGATCTTCGCAGCTGCTTGTGCAACTGAAGTGTTTAAAATTGCTACAAGGTTGGTGGAAGCAACTCTTTCAGTGTTTAATTCCAGGTGTTTTCTAATTTGTTAGCTCGTCGTTATTTCAACATATTTTTGGTTTCAGTGCGTATATTCCCTTAAACAACTACCTCGTCTTCAACGATGTGGATGGACTTTACACCCACACGTTTGAAGCTGAGCGAAAGGTTGGTTTCATTTTTGTCAACATCTAACAGTTTACATCTCCATGTAGAAAATGTTTAAAGTACCATATTTTTCGGACTATAAGGCGCATTTAAAATCCTTTCATTTTCTCAAAAATCAACATAATCCAGTTGTGTATTAATTATTAATTCTGGTTGTGTTTACTGACCTCAAACAATTTTATGTGTTGCAACTGAACAATGCTGAGAGTTATTGTGAATGAGCTGAATCAAGTTTGACTTATCTGACTTGTTTTATTTCGCTTAATGCGCCTTATAATCCGGTGCGCCTTATAATCCGGTGCGCCTTATGCATGAAAAATACAGTAATCTGAATCCTCTTTGACAGGAAAATTGCACGGCGTGCAGCCAGGTACCTCAGGATCTCCAGTTCCCTCCTTCTGCCAAACTACAGGAGGTTTTGGAGTACCTGACGGAGAACGCCTCGTTGTGAGTTCCTGGAATGAAACCTCTCACCGCGACGCAGCAGAAAGATCTCTGTTCGCTTTTACAGATTGTGTATTGTTTCCCTGCAGACAGATGAAATCACCTGCCATCACCACAACTCTAGAAGGAAAGAACAAAACGCTGTATCTGCAGGTGATTATTTAACGTCTGAGTGGCTGCACAGCGCTTTTGTCCCAAAGTAAAATTAAACCTTTTGTTGCCGCTTTTGTTCCAGTCTGTGAAATCCATCGAAGAACGTACAAGGCCGAACCTCTGCAAGACGTTGAAAGGTAATAAGCACGCAGCACTCCCAACGTTCTGTTTAACGTGATTTTTATTCCGATTTTTAATCGCACGTTATTCTTTCTTTCTGACGCAGAGCTGGGTTTGTCAGACGGGCAGGAAATAGCTGTAGCCGATGTCACCACCCCCCAGACAGTTCTCTTTAAAATCAACTTCACTGCTTGAACGTCAAATAAGCCAGCACTGACCCATCTGAGCCAACTGGCTGTTTGAGCACAGCGTTACTGTGGCGTATTATTATAATGTAAATAAGGTCTCACGTGTGTTACAATGTGTTAACATTGAATCATTAAATAACACATTTTTTTTGTAACACTATTTACATAACTATTTGTTCAGTGCTGATATATGTTGTATCCATGTTTCTATCAGTTGAGAATAATGTGAACTCTATAATAAAGTTTTACTATGAGGATGTGTTTTGATGTCATTTTGTTTTATTTAATGAAATGAAGCAATTTTATACAGCCGAAACCAGATGTTTGCATGCAATATGAAAAGACACATCTGTCTTTAAATCAGACTGAGTTTCCAGTTTTAGGTCAAGATTCAAAAAATTATTTCTAATTGCTACAATATTAAATAAGGATAATATTTTTAGATTGTTTTCCCTTCAAAGTCACGTTTGCATACATTATATATGCCTATAAACAATTTGCGACGGACCAGATGATGATGTCATGGCTTTGAAAGCTTTTGATTGGTTAGTTGACGATGACGGGAGGCACAGCTGCAGATGGATTTTAAGGCACACCTCAGACACTGTTTCTTTGTGACAGCATGGGAAATCAAAAGAGAGCAGCCGTGACATCAGGAGGAGAACTGTGGACCTCCACAGCTCTGGTTCATTCTAAGTTGCTGCATTCCTCTGCTCTACCAGTTATATACAAGTAGACACCACATGTCCAGCCATGACAGGAAGGAGACAGGTTTAGGGTTTTTGAGGAGAACATCTGGGTATAAAGTATCAACCCAACAAAGAATAAAGAACTTGTGCAGCTTCAGCAGCAGCTGGTCAAAGTGTCATGATCCACAGTGAAACGTTCTGTACCCAAAGAAGAAGAGCTCATTACTCTGAAAGTGACAACAAAATGAAAAACATTACAGTTTGAAAATGCATACAGATACAACTATCTTGATTTTTGGAGACGTTCTGTGGTCTGATGAAAATAAAACTGAACTTCTGCCCATAATGACCATTGTTATAGCTGGAGGAAACATGAAAGCCTCTGAACATCAGTCCAGCTGTGAAGTACAGTGGTGGCAGCATCATGTTTTGGAACTGTTTTGTTGCAGGAGGGACTGCTTTACAATTTCACAAAATAGGTGGCATCAAGAGGAAAAAACACGTTCAGCCAGAAAGGTAAAGTTTTGGCTTAGATAAATCTTTGCTCAAGATTCGTCTCTTTTCACTGCCGATTGCTCCGTGTAGAGTTTGAGAATCTATCAGAGCTGATCTTTCTTCTTCTTGTGCAAACTTTATTGTTAACTTTCTTGTGTTTGCTTAGTGACACAATATGTCTTTCCTTGTTCTTAAAACAGTCCAGGCTCAATAATCCAGGTATACAATCCAACAATTTTCAGTCAGGTCATCTGGACAGTTTATTTATTTTTTTGCTGAAACGTTTCACCTTCCATCCAGAAGGCTTCATCAGTCAAGGAAATGCACAACACAAAACAGATACTTCCCACAAACAGACTGTTTTGGTTTTGAAACAGTTTGACATGACTGCTGACGAGGAAGAGGGCTGGCTCCAGAGGAGGGTGTGTGCCAAAGACACCATCTTAGCACCAATATAACTGGTTTGTTCCACTTTGGAGTAAGCTGTTTGGGGGAAGAATCAGTTTTGTGTTGTGTGTTTCCTTGGCTGATGAAGCCTTCTGGATGCAAGGTGAAACGTTTCAGAAAAAAAAAAGAAAAACTGGCCAGATGACCTGACTGAAAATTGTTGGGCTCCCTTGTTCTTGTTTTACGTTTTAATTTGAGTAAATTGCAAAGCACTTTGGTCAACTTGTGTCGTCGTTATGTGCTATAAAAATAAACTGACATTGGCACAAATGGATTTTCCAAATATAAGGACACTAAGGATACCTGAATTAATTACAAAGTTGCTTAAGGACAACATTTTAGAGGTTAATAATATATAAGGTCAATATTTTAGAGTGGCTATCACAAAGCGTTAATCTCAATCGCAAAGAAAAATTTTGGGCTGAGCAGAAAATACGTGCATTCGTTGGGTCTGAAAGCCTAACCTTGACTCCTCCAAAGAATGCTTTTGTCACTGCAGCTTATTGTTGCATCTGAACATAAAGGGTACTACTTTATAATAAGACTCCCCTTATAGAAGGCTAATTAATAGTTTATAGACACATTATTAATTCCTCTATAAACACTTTGTAAATCATTAATAACTGCTTATTATGCATCAGTTAAGGGTGACAGAGACAAACTGACCAGTTTCTTGCCAAATCTGTTCACCTATATATTTCATCTAGAGTTGTTATATTAAACATTTCAGACTAAGTTACTACTTGTAAGCACAATAAACCTATTTTTTTAGTATATAATATTGTACTTTATCACTGCATTATAAGTATCTACAACTAATATTATATCCTAAAAAAAAAATGTTTACAAATGTTTATTGTGCTTACAAGTAGTAACTTAGTGTGAAATGTTTAATATAACAACTCTAGATGAAATACATAGGTGAACAAATTTGGCTCACTATTTGGCAAGAAACTGGTCAGTTTGTCTCTGTCATCCTTAATTGATGCATAATAAGCAGTTATTAATGATTTACAACGTGTTTATAGAGGAATTAACAACATATCTGCTACTTATTTATGAGCCATCTATAAGGCGAGCCTTATTGTAAAGTGGTACCATAAAATGTTTCTCTAGAAGGCATTTGGTTTGTTCATCAAATTAAAAAAATGTTACTTTTTCTTCTCAGTTCATTGCAACATCAAAGTGATTCTATCGTTGACAGACATTAATGTTTCAATGTCCACTTCATGGCAGGCTCGAGTCTGGGTGGCTAGTTATTCCTGAACATATAAACCAATTATCTTTCATCTGCATGGAACATGTGAGTATTGGTCAGTCCAATACTGTGTCAAACTAATCATTTTCATGCTGACAATAAATTTAATTCAATTTATTTATACAGGTTAGTCCCATTGAGCCACGAGGACTCATTTACAAGAGAGACAGGGATTTTAACGAGTGATGACAACCGTGGACAACAAAGACAGCAATAGACAATCACAAATGATTCATACAAATACATTTATTTAATTATTATTATTTTTTTAACAATTGAAAACAAAATGATAATTAAAAGGAGAAAGAAACACAGCAAAAAAAAAGCAGCTAGATTATGAGGCGGTGTAGAATACTAAAAACAGGAACATGTCATGGAACATGGAGCAAATAAATAAATAATAAAAATAATAAATTGCCAGCTGCAATCATGACCACTAACAAGAAACCAATAGTCCCAGCCATGTCGAGGTAAAAGACGTTTAAGAAGCTTCAGCACCACTTGTTTAAAAAAAACTAAGTGAGCGTGTGAACTGTTTATATTAGAGCATGTGCTGCATGTTTGAGTGACGATTAGAAAAAATATCCACAATAAATTCACATCAGTTCATTGTTACAAAACCAAAACTAATACAGTATTCATGCCCATGATGAGCGTCCTTTAATTGGTTGGTTCTCACTTAGACCATTTTAGTCAAAAACTTGATTTCAAAAAGACTGAACTGCAATATTTAGTAAAACTAAATAAAAATCAGGTCACTGGATGAGGTTCATCCTCTCAGTTCAGTGTGCGTCCGGATGTCCACGCTCACTTTAAGCTTCTTAAGGCGCTAATGAAAGTGGCCGCATATTGTCCACAGGGCAGATGGTTTCTGTCTTCATTAAGATTTAATTTTCCTGTCGGGTAAAGCTGACAGGCTTGTCCTGTTGTTTACACAAAGCAGCATCTCTCTCTTGCATGGCGGCCAGCTCTGTAACTCCATGGAGAGAAGCCGATGTGTGGAAGTGTAGCTGATGTTTTGATCACACCTGTATGCCTCAACAACAGGCTGGTGGGGTCTTTATTTTATATTTTTTTCCTTAGCTTGTATTTGTACGAGGTGGAAAATGTTAAAAATGAGGAATACCATTTTCTGCAAACTTCTGTTTCTCTCCTAAAACTGATGGAGGCTTTTCACAAAGGCTGACCGTGCCCATCAATGAACCGAGCGCAAGTAAGTGGAGAAAGAATTACATTTTCAAGCTGTTTTTTTTTTTAACACGATAAACATGTGTGTCAAGAAAAGTTAATATATTTAGTGTGGGGCAATTGTAAAATTATTTGAAATGTTCAGTCCAGTGAAAATGAATCTTTTATTTGCATGAATAGGAATGATTTTAGGCAGTTTTTGTAGAAAATACCAGACTCTCAGGTTTTGGAACGTTAAAAACAGCTTAAAAAAGCTAATATGGTTTAAATGAATAAATGCAGGTCATTCGGAGCCTTAAACGTAATGTGTGATTAATGAAAGTGCCCCAAGGAAACTAGCAGTTACATCTTGTCATCGTTGCTCCGACTTATTTATTGCTGTGATTTAGCATCAACATGTCCCTGTTTTTGTTCAGTGACTCATAAAATCTAACTTCAGATTAAATTTTAGCTGTGCACAGCTCACAGGAGAATATGACTCAGGAATGAGTGCAAATCTGAATCGTGTCCGTTCCCCCACGCCCTCTGCCATTTCCCCATCACCATAAGGTCAGCAGAATGGTGTGCGAGTCAAGATTTAGCATATAAACATAACCTCATTATATCAGAGTCAGATTGTTATTAGGTTAAGCTGTTTGCTTAAAGTTTGCGTGAATGTGTGCTTTCCCATGTAGGAAAGATGAACACGATGTCACATCCATTAAAGTGGCTCTTCTTCTTGTTGCTCTGTGTAATAAACCTGAACATCCAGTCAGTGTCCAGTGGCAACCAAAGCTCCCGAGGACAGACAGGTGAGTGTCAGACGGAGCCAGACCACTCATACACCCACAGGGACTCATTATGACTCCTGGTCACCAGCCTGCAGGTCTGAAGAGGAGCGCCATTAAAGCAACAGGACCATTACACTCTACATACTTCTTCAT